GATATTAAATCAAGTTACACTTTTTGAGCATGGTGACCGATAAGAAAACAATTTTTTTTCTCTTATTGAATAAATGAGAAGTTAATATTGTTTAAAATATTTTTGATATATTACAATACATGTAGGTTATTCAGGAATTTTTATCATTGAGTTAGCAGCTAGTGTACACGCATACGTCTAGTCGCACGCACACAAACACCATGCCGAATTCTGCCGAGTGCCGAAGTCTGCCGAACTGAAACGACGTTAGACGATGCACGGCTTTCAACGCCACACCTCCGTGCCCGTCGGAGTGGGGAGCGTGAGGTTTTTTTCGTTACGGAATTTCTGGATTCGGTCCCCGCGCTTAAGGCCCGCGATAGAAGCTATGCAATAGCTTAATAACTCCTGGGAATGAGATGATTGCCACCATGGTTGTATGCTGGTTCTTCCCAGGACAGAGGTATCAGTGGTAAATAAAACACGACTTTCAATAAGTATTATTAGTAAAAAATATTCTATTCTCTGTAATATAAAATATTTACTAACCAGTAGGGACATTGTATAAAAAAAATCAATTGATATTGTGCAAATATTGTTATAAATTTAACACATCTAATGTTATTCAATAAATAAACAAATAATTTTTAAACAATAAACATTTTAAAAATAACCGGTTTTTTATTTTTTGTAATGGGAACTAACAGTTAGCACAAGAAACATAAACAATTATTAATTACATTGCAGCACTTGCGCAATGTAATTAGTGGTTGTATATAAAATAAAAATAGTAAAGTGCAAATAAAGGGCGAACCCAAAGCACCATTAATTTAACGCCATCTATTAGGCTAAACCCGAACTTTAACGAAAATTAAACCCCCTTTTAATATATTTTTTTTTTATTAATAATTATTTTTTTTTTTTTTTTTTTTGGGGGAAGGGGAAAAGAAAAATAAAAAATTTATTTTTTTAGATTTTTAGGTGTTAATTGGGTTTTGTGTGGAAAAAAAAAAAACCCCACCAAAATAAAAAAAAAAAAAAAAAAAAAAAAAAAAATTTTTTTTTTTTTTTTTTTTTGTTTGCCTAATTAAATTTTTTTTTTTTTTTTTTTTTTTTGTTTTTTTTTTTTTTTTTTTTGGGCCTCCTCAAACTTTGAAATTTTTTTCCCTGCTTTATGATTTTTTAATTTTTTTTTAATTGGGAATAATTTATCAAAAACTTTTTGAGCAGTCGAGTCCTGACAGAAATTAAGAATCAAAATGCAGATACCATGTCACCCCTGAGGACTTAGATGAAATTCCTCGTTTCCACTAAAAAGTGTCTCCAGTACTCTACACTCACCATACCAGACACAGCAACATTAAGCTGCTATTTTACGCTCGTATTCGTTCCCCGGTCGGGCCGACCCACTTGGGCTCCAACCATTATATAGCTGCAGCTTGATTCTACCACGTAAAAAGTACAATGAAACATAAGTACAATAAAACAAAAAAATGTGTTCATGTTATTTTTATTTTCACAAGATCAAGAACATCAACAAATCTCTTAAAAATTACAATAACGAAGGTCTAAGATTACAGCTAGAACTCTAGAGCTGCTCCTTTAGTATTTACATAGTTAAGCTCTTTGGCCTGTACAAAATATACACAAAACAAATTAAAAAATTATGTAAATAAACTCGCGAACCGAAATATAGGTAACGTAATTAAAATTATCAATAAAATTTCAACAAACTATTTAAAAATAGTTAAAAAAAATAGATGATACGGAAGTGGGTGCCGTGCAGAATATAAATAGACAGTGCATTTTTTAAATATTTCTATTTCGAATACTGAAATCGGTATACGATTTATTGCTAAAATTTACAAGAAACTTTCGTCAATTAAAAAAAACAACAAATATACATCAATTACCATTATTAAAGCATTATACAAAAACGAAGAAATCTTCACTTTCAGTTCAAAGTCGATTTAAGTTCAAATAAATTTGTCAAACAAAACAGTAAATTTAAAACTAAGATTTTAAAAATTTGTCTTATTTCAAACTGCGACAAAAATTTAGTTTAACTAAATGCAACGCATTTAATAAAAATGTCCATTTACCTATGTTCAGAGCTATCCTATCAAACGCGTACGAAGTATATAACATTGAAACGACGTCTAATCATGGATCGGGCAGTTCTTTTAAATATAAGTATCAAGTATAAATATTCAAATTTAGTAATTCTCGCATTAACCACCGATCTACGAATAGACTTCGAAGCATAACTACCTAGAGTAGGCACAGAAGGGTTCAGTACATTTGGCTTAAAGTGGGAAAAATCTTAGAAATATCACATCAACTAGTCACCTTCGGGATTTGAAACAATAAATAATGGAATGTTGTGTTCGATATCGTCAACTTCAATATTTGTCCAGATTTTACAAACTGTAGACTGTGTGACGATAGTCATGAGTGGCCAAAAAAATTAGCAAGAGAATTTATTATTTTCATCGATCAAATATGGAGTACATTAAATTACATTCTGGGATCTCAACGAGGAAGGAGACAATTTTATAAAAAGATGGCAACATTACTGTCAGTTTCTTACCATGTGGTCACAATATGTATTTAATCAAACTTATAATTTTATAATGTTGATTTTATGTTGAATATTTACTTGTGTTTAAAAATTTTAGATAGTGAAAAATCTATTAGAGATCGATCATATATATGTATTACATAAAATTAATATAAAAATTATTTCCAACAGATTTTACATGGCGTGACCTTTTAAGTGGTCTCCCAATTTTGAGGGAAAAGTGAGTTTTTCTATTTACATCAATCACATATTGCCACCTTTTTTAAATTGTTTTTATTTATTATATGATATACAATGAATTAATTAAATTAATATAATTGTACTAGTTTAAGAGTGATTGCGCTCTTAAAAGCGTCGTAAGTTTGGCAGCCGTCTTCCCCATTTACGTCTCAAAGTTTGTTTCGGTATTTAGCCATTTTATACACAAATATTGAAGTAAATAATAAAATTTCGATATACAAAGTGCACCCGAAGGCGTAATGACAAAGCGACAGTAATTATTCCTAAACATTAACACTAATTTATCCTACAAATAGCGGTTGAGCTGAGATCTTGTGTACTAATTTAATAATTTATGTATACCTAGCAAACTCTACGTCTATCCAATGCTAAAATTTCAAAATAAAAATAAATAATTATTCAATCAAAATGAAGCTATTACGCTATCGGGATAAGGTTCTATTTCGAAAACTATCGGAGTAAATATGTCGAAATACAACAACAAACTAAAGCTGTATGCACACTAAAACGGTTCTAGTCAATTAATTTTGCCATGTCAAAACTCAAGCAATACCTGTACTATAAATTAAATTAGTGATGAAGCGCCGATATTTTTCCGTTACCAAAGATTATCTTAACTCAATTGATTCCTCCTTGAAACTTCCAATTTTTAGATAAGTGTATTTTTAAAACAAGATATCGGGAAAACATTGTTCGGAATTTACGAAGACTTTTCATTCACAGTCTTGAAACGTGTTACACATTTAAAAATTTAAAATATGGCATTAACTTTCGCTAGCAAGTTCTTGGGATCAAATAATTTCTAAAAATACACAACCTATAGTTGTGTTGACAGCTTATTTCGAATGAAAAACTTTATTATAATAATCTTTTAAAAATGAATTTGGAAATTACATATTTAATGTATCGATTTCGTTATTTGTTTCGAACAATATTTCAAAATAATCGATGCCATCATTAAATTAATCACTGGCAGATAATTTCAAGCTAATTTTACTGGACTTTAAATTTTACCCTTTATGTCACTACTAAATGCCATACCCATCAAAGATATTTTTTTGTATTATTTTATAGTATTACACAATGTAAAAACATTATTTTCTCTTGTATATGTCGTAGACCGAACGTTTGAATTAGGCAGATCGTAATCTGGATAACAATGTGCCATTGCCCAATTCTACGATTAAACTACGATATAGTTCATACAATAGCAGTGTATTTCAAATTGAATACAATATTTGTCTAAGAATTTATTTACTTTTAAATTGACATACACGAAATCTATCTAAAAGTTTCACAATGAAATGACGAAACGATTCTAGAACTGATAATTTTATTTTAGACATTGTTTCAAAGCGTAATTGAAATCGATAAATCGTTTTCAAACATACGCACGATGGTATTATGAAACGGAGCACCAGAATTACGTTCGTGTTTCTTGTACTGGTTTTCGTATTTGGACAAACTACTCAGAGATAAGCACTTTGTATATTATATTCAAGTTCATAAAAAAAAGTATATATGTAAAATTTATGTATTAATTATTAATAATTTTCTAGCAAAATTCGATATATATATATGGTTCCATTTGATTTATATAAGAAAGTTGTCGTGTGACTTAGCCCTAAACTAATGATATCGTGTATACTCTGCATGTGGTATTGGTAACTTTTAAAATTCTCTCTTAATATTTTAGTCGCGCTTGTTATCGAAATTTATTATTTTTTTTCTATAACAATAATTCAGGTGTGTACACACTCTTAAATAAGTTAAATGCGGCTTCAAATTTGATTCAAAACGTCTTTAAACTACACTCATATAACATTCGAATAGATTTTCAAATACGAAGACAATTTTACGTAGTTTCGTTAGACATATAGCAATTCCTATTTAATTTAGACGATGCTTCCACATTTGCCGTTAGTTAGGGACAAATTGGGACCAAAAGATGACCGGCCTAGGGTCCCGTGGCTGAAGGAGCTAGAAATTGCACCTTCCAAGCCGTTATTCATGTATTGATTGTTCTGAAGACCGATGAGTAACTCGACTAGCGCGTTGGCAGCACTTTGTGCATTCAGAAGTTCGAATATAATGCAGTTGCATTCCGGTTCTGCGTTTTTGGAACTCTTGGTGCTGGCACTGGAGCTAGAGCTGGACCCGGTGCCGGCACCGGCGGGGGGGCTGGGGTGCAGCGGACACGTCAGCTGCAGGTTCTTCGGGTACTGGATTGGAATCCCGGACAAGTGGTTAGCTGCTGCCCTGGCGTAGAAGACGCAAGTGTGTCCGTCAGAGTCAGGGTAGTTCGGGTTGCCGTTGTGCTGTGGAAAATAAATTGGCGATTAGGTATTTTTTATTATTAGGTTCACAAATGAAAATCACATTTGGAAATTGCGAAAAAACATAAATCAATAATAACACATAGTGTCGATTATAATTCTAAAAAGAATATCCAGTTTTCCACCCTATCGTACCGTGGGTGTCGGACACAACTGCTGGTGCCAATCCACATGTTAATCGTGACAACTGCCTCCTTTCGTATAAGACCTCTGTTCAGCAGTGGACTATGATCGGTTGTTATGACTGTACATAGCTTACTATTATGAAATTTAAAAAGTGCCCGGTCAATAAAACAATATATTAAAAAGGTCGTCTAGTGGTCGCAATTTAATTGTAATTCATTCAATTTTTAAGTGTATCCATTAAGCAAGCTGTACTTTCCACTCGCAGTAAATTATATATTACCTACATGTAATGTTATGCTTTCAATTCATAAACACTCACGCCTGTCACCCAGAGGGGTAGGCAGAGACTACAGACTTCCATTTGGCACGATCCTGACACACCTCTCTTGCCTCCTTCACATCCATACACCTACGCATACATGCTCGTCGGTTAAGGGTACTCCTAATTTGGCCCGTTTTCAATAAATCGCCAATTTGGTCGATAAATTTTCGCCTAGGACGTCCCTTTCCGACTCTGCCATTCACTTCTGCAACATAAATTTTCTTTGTCACTCTTTCCTCATTCATTCTTTCCACATGACCAAACCACCGAAGCATTCCTTTCTTAATCCTGGTCACAACATCATCTTGCAAACCACACTCTTCTCTTATTACACAATTTATTACCCATGTAATTCAGATGCTTTCAACTGCACATATTAATATATATAGAACAATAAACACAACTTATCCAACGTTAAAGATTTACGCTTTTTGACTTGACATAGTCACACTCCAAAAAAAACGTAATAATTTAAAAAAAATTCGCAGCACCTACAGTCAATATATCATTAATTATCTTGTAGGCAAAATTATAAAATTCGTAAGCGACGATTTTCTATCCTGTGCGAATGTTATAATTGGTATCGGTAGGCCTATGACCACGCTTATATGTGTTGGACAATTGACATTGCGGTATGAACGTAAACAATGACTGTTTTACATTATTTTATTTAACGAATTTGTAACATATATCAGAATTAAATTTTAGCTTTCTACATTTCTTCTCCATAACATATTTGGATTATTCCAAATCTTGCACTCTTCCGGACGTGTAAATTATTTAAAAGGTTACTAATACAAAGTTTTCTCTTCATGTAGTACAAATATAGATTAGAACTACTTTAATAATTTATTAGTAACTTTAAACAAATTCTTTTCCCGATATTAGTGGGAATTCCCAATTCCGACGCAAACGGAGACCCACGCGCGTGTACATTTACCCACTCGAGTAGGTACGCGTGAAGGTTGTCGCCCACTCGAGGAGCGCCGCGTGGTGCTGCGACGGCACAGTGCAGTGGGCAGTAGTCGTGGTACAGTCAGGTACAGTCACCCACACGAGCAGCTGCGCTGTGTCCAGGTGTCCGGCGGCAGCGGCGGCGCGCATTGCGAGCGAGCGCTCGGTGGCGCAGTGCGCGCGATGCGACACAGTGGGCGGCACGGTCAGGTATAGTCAGGTACAGTCAGGTACAGTCAGGCACAATCAGGTACAATCAGGTACACTCAACCACACGAGCAGCTGCGCGGTGTCCAGGTGTCCGGCGGTGCGGCGGCGCGCATTGCGAGCGAGCGCTGGGTGGCGCAGTGCACGCGATGCGACACAGTGGGCGGCACGGTCAGGTATTAGGTACAGTCAGGTACAGTCAGGTCACAATCAGGTACAATCAGGTACACTCACCCACACGAGCAGCTGCGCGGTATCCAGGTGTCCGGCGGCGGCGGCGGCGCGCATTGCGAGTGAGCGCTCGGTGGCGCAGTGCACGCGATTCGACACAGTGGGCGGCACGGTCAGGTACAGTCAGGTACAGTTAGGTACAGTCAGGCACAATCAGGTACAATCAGGTACACTCACCCACACGAGCAGCTGCGCGGTGTCCAGGTGTCCGGCGGTGGCGGCGGCGCGCATTGCGAGCGAGCGCTCGGTGGTGCAGAGCACGCGATGCGACACAGTGGGGGGCACGGTCAGGTACAGTCAGACACAATCAGGTACAATCAGGTATACTCACCCACACGAGCAGCTGCGCGGTGACAAGGTGTCCGGCGGCAGCGGTGGCGCGAAGTGCGAGCGAGCGCTAGGTGGCGGTGTCTGCGCGGTGCGACGCAGTGGGCGGCACGGTCAAAAACAGTCAGGTACAGTCAGGTACAGTCACGTACACTCACCCACACGAGCAGCTGCGCGGCGGCCAGGTGTCCGGCGGCGGCGGGGCGGCGCGCAGCGCGAGCGAGCGCTCGGTGGCGCAGTGCGCGCGGTGCGACGCTGTGGGCGGCACGGCGGCCGCCAGCGCGCGCAGGATGGCGGGCATGGTGCCGCGTGCTGCCGCCGCCCGCAGCGCCTCCCCGCTCACGCTCGCCTCGCTGCTCGACAGGAACGCGCGCCGCTCATACTTCAAACGTATCCATCTGGGAACAAACGCGTTCATAATTATTAGTACACAAATTTAGAGGAACGCAAAATAAGTTTAATTTCTGTTGTGGTAATTATCATGTTTACTGGTCACAAACATTAGTAAGTACTATTTAAAAAAGAAAGTTTTAAAATGTTTTTGTTCCAATTTTCATATAATTATTAAGGAATATTACATATACTGCGATAAATTTCGTCAACTTTTGAATTTAAATTTAAGTTTTGGTTTTGTTTAAACTTTTTGCCTAAACTGCATTTTTATCTTGTGAATTGTTACAGGAAATCAACTGAGAATTCCAGATCTAAACACCACTCAAGTTGGGGTTGTGTATTTTAATTGACACTGGACATATCACAAACATGTGGCCCAAACATTATCTACGAGGGACGACTGAAAAGTTTTGAGCCTAAGTACCTTCAAGTGTCATTATTGTCTAGCGCTGTATATTATTAATTTGTGAATACCCTCCTTAGTATAAAAACAGAGTTTCACATTATTAGCATCATTCCGCGTTTAATATCGATATCGATGCATCTTTGCCAACGCAGTGGCAGTTTATGGATGCCCCCTTCTTGAAGAAATCAGTGAGACGGGAGGCAACAAATTCTTCAAAGGCATCACTCTCGGGTATTGAACTTTTTCCCGACAATAATATATCCATATTCTGGGAAAAGTTGAAGTTTGTAGGCGCAAGGTCTGGTGAGTACGGCGGATGACGGAAAGCTTCCAAGCAGCAACATTTAAAAAGTGGTTTTAGTGGCTTGTGTGGTGTACATTTATCAAGTCCGTATGGAGGTGTAAACACGATAACTTTTGAAAATATTAATTGTTCATCTCAATCTCTTCGTATATCATGTGGGAAGCCATGGAATGTAAATGGCAGTTTAATTTTGTTTTATCGAGTTATATTAATTTTTTTCGGATGAGAAATTCCGAAATTTTCGGTGTTAATTCTTCGGTGTCAATTCTTTCTCCAAATATAATAACTAACTTTATCACTATTATATGAATATTATAATATATCAATTATATCGCGATTGCAACTTGTTAAAAATATAATTGCTTTTGATTATTAGCATATAACTATACCTTTCTTTCTCCTCTCGGCTGGATGTAGCGATGGGTTTGATATGGCCTCGTAAATCTGCTTCCCATATCGAGTTTGCGAGCGCGTTCCCTATGGACACCATGACGCTCACGTGGCCCAAGCTAAAAATAAATAAAAATTATAGTTATATTTACACAACAAAACATTTTACAAAAACATTACACTTAATAAGTGTGACGAAATCTTTGCAAAAAATGACAATGAGAAGATGCAACAATGAGACTACTCTGGTAATTGTGACTCATAGGATAAAATACAATATTACAGTTTTAAATAAATAAAGTAACTAAAATAGTACAAATATTTCAATTTTACTGCATTTACGTTTAATCGGGTCATAATAACCGGCGATTTAAAAATCAGCCCTAAAAGGTGTTTCACTTGGACATACGTATTCTAACCACCAACTTGAGGTTACTTATATCAAGTAGTAAATTTAAAATAACGATGCACTTACGGCCACTCATCTAAATCCAGCGACCGCACTCGCGATATATGCGATCCGAGGTTTCTGTGTATTCCGGAGCACTCTATGCAAATTAGTATACCAAGGTTTAAGCTCGCCCAATCGGGATCTGAAACGAATAAAAGTAAGTTTTCATAAAAATTTAAATTACGAGGTAATATGTAATTTCGCTACTTCACTAACAAACCTCTCTGGCGTGGGTTCAAATCTGCCATTCGACGTGAAGCACTTCTACATCCTATAAAAGCCATCTGTGGCGGCGACGACAGCGGCGCTACATCTGGCTGTGGCCGTGAAAGGAAAAGGGGAGATCTCCCGCCGGACAAGTTGTTATGCCCGGGGAGCGGCCAACACTCCGAGCGATAGTTCGGAGAAGTTCTATATATACTGTCTATGATTCGGAATGTTGATAGCGTGATTTAGGCTTCGATGTATTTCGCTTGTGGCGGCGACGACAGCGCCGCTACACCATCCATTACAGCCTATAAAAGTCCACTGCTGAACATAGGCCTCATAGGCGGAATTTTGCCATAGTTTAATTTCAGTTGTTATCAGAAAGATGCTGCTGTTCATCTCCTGTTATCTACAATATATACAACAAATACTCTGTCATAGTACAAACAGAATAGTAGGCTCTCTTTTAAAAAATGTACCGAACGCCACTAATATTTGTGCGTGCCCGGCACGTGACAGTAAACTTTGTAAAATAAATTAAATATGCGTTTGCTTAAGTAAATTAGCTTTTTACCTAATAAGTACACTAATTATTATATCACAGCAGATCAAATTAATTTTAAACATTAAATCTGAACTGACACCATATGGTCAGAGTTAATTTACTCATATTTTAGTTATTTCGCACTTGTTGTAATGTAAAGCTAAAATTTTTTTTGACAAACGTTGATTATTTGAGAGGAAACTAATGAAATGATTAACAAATATGATGCATAGATACATATTCGTACGATTATGTTTGTAAATATTGTAACTACTTATAAAACTGAATGAGACTTGCTGTTAAATAAAAAGATAGTGATAACCCTGCAATAGTAGGCATTTCCGTCTCGCGCGGCGCGGGATTTGTCCTACTATTCTGTTTTTACATGCATCTGTCGCCTCTTACGACACCCACGGAACCATTTAGGGAAGTAGATATAATTTAACCGTATACACAAGCAGTTCGAACTTAAAGTGTACTTAACGGAACAAGTAGTGTTAACAAAATTGCCAGTATTTCTTTAATAAAATAACACCAGTGTTTACGTACCCATAGCACCGCAGTCGCAGCAGTGGTCGTTGCCCTTGACGCGGCGCACGTACTGCGTGGCGCGCACGTCGCCCGTCGAGTTCGCGCCCGTTGGTGCCGGCTGCCGGGACGTCTGCGAACACAAATCAATATTATTCGTCTATTGGGTTGAATGGTCTAAGTGGAGGAGCAATACCAGAGCTTAAATTTGAAGCAATTTTACACCTACTTTACAAGCGATTAAAAAACTAACTGGGTTCGGCAGTTACTTATATAGATATTTACGTAATTACGTGTATATGTTTACGATTTTTTTTTACAAAACTAATTGATAACATTCAAAAATATACTGATATTAGAATGAAATATCTTGTACGTAAACGAAATGACGTTTATGTAATAAGCTTTTAAACTACGATTATGTAACCCTTTTTAAGAGGTTGCAAATTAATTCGATTTTTGTGATTGATTATAAAACATTTCATTTCATTAATATAAGACGCAAGAGACGATACAACAATCAGGCCGTGTGCCAGAGAGATTAAGTAATACAAATGCTTGGAATAATGTATTTAAAACATCACGTGTCGATATGCGAGAGGAGATATAACAGAAGAAAGTGCGTGTTATCTGCAGCGTACCAGGCATAGTGTGCGAGAAAAATAGTACGAATATGTACATGTAAATGTGTCCGAGTGAGAGCCTTGAAGCGAGGCGAGTATATGGGCAATGAGATAGTGAACGAGAGAGACAGCATGAGTAAGACTGTGAGTGGTGTGGGTGAAAGCACCGACCCGGTCCTGTAACGAGTCCTATATGCCTCGACGGCTGTAACCCGGGTGCCATGCGGTAGTGAATGACACAGAGAGTAGTAGTATAAACGAATGTGTGCGAGCGAGGGCACTGATCCATCCTTGTAACGAGGCAATATCTGTACCTCGACAGTTGCGACCCGAAATCCATATGACAACTAAGTGAGAGAGACAGTACGATTATAAATGAATGTGTGCGAGCGAGAGCACTGACCCGGCCTTGTAGTGAAGCGAGAATCTGTGCTTCGACGGCTGCAACCCAGGCGTCTCTCTCGGCGGCGGCGGCTGCTCCGGTACCACTGCCTACTTCCCAGCGCCATCGTTTTCCGTCCAAACTGACGATGGTGAATTCGCACGACGTCGCACTTTCACCCTCTGAAAATAAAATTGGTAATTATTAGACAAAATGCAAAATTATTACATTATCTTATTTAAAATCTGTTATAAATATTATACCAACCATTTGAAGGCAGCGTAAAAAAAATGTACCATCCTATGTAGTCGAGTAAGCGTCCTAAAAGCGACAACCGAAAATGGCAATAAAGCCCCCGTGTTTACGACATACATAAAATACCCAGGCCGATAATGTGGAGCAGTAAGTACGATTTCTGATACTATTCCCACTAATCCGCCAGGCGTGGCACTTCATTGTATTGGAAAATCCCAACTTGATAAATGAATTAAAATGAACTGATAAATAAAAATAGTCGGACCGTGTAGTGGCAGTGCTAAAATATCCAGTACCCATATTATGCTGTGGGTATCCGCGACAGAGGGAAACAAATCAGGAGATGGGGAGCAGCTGCTCTAAAATTGAATAACGACTAAAAATAAAAAAATTGCGGTTGCCGAACCGTTTGCCAAACGTGGCAACTATGGAAAATATAAATATATAAATATCCCTGCATGATTTGTGACAGGATGTAATGACAATGAAGAAATAAACAAATGAACATAAAATAATCAACATCGATCTCCCCACCCTGAAAGTATACTCTTAACTAAAAATTCACCTAAATCGGATAAAAACTCCGAAGATATCGCAACAAATATTAAAACTGATAGACTCCTTTTTACATTAGATTAAAAGGAAATCAGAATAATAGATACCCTTTTTTATTACATAAACAATAAATCTGCCAGTTCACTGGATAGTAAATCTATCTAAACCTTTATTAAATATTTTGAAAGTAGATAGACTTCTAGGGAAAAAGTATCAACTGGATGTAAACTGTGATGCAAACTAAGATAGCAGCAGTCTGTTACATGCTGACGACGAAGAAGACGATTTCTATGTCGAGTTTTATTGACAGAATCCTTTTCACCTCGTGAGGAACTAGCGACGTAATGTGTACCGTGAAGAAACATGCATTTGATTTATTTAATTATTTAGATTAGATAGGTAAAATTCACAGACCACAGATATTGATAAATAATAGGTCCTTTTATAAAACAACATTCGCATCGCAAATGTAAGTATTTACAGATATAACGCAAAATATATTAATGGTGTCTTAGATTAAATTATTCTGATGCAATAGTGTTATACAATTACACATTCTGAAGAAAATTAAAGTAACAGCCCATATACGTTCCACAGCTGGGCACAGGCCTCCTCTCATTTCTGAGAAGGTTTTAGGGCAATGAATTGTCCGCCGAGCTGTTGCCCCAATGCGTGTTTGCGATCTTCATATGTCTTTGAAATATTTTTTTTTAATTACTCCGACATGCAAGTTTCCTCATGTTTTTCTTCGCAGTCGAGCACGAGGTAAATCAGCACTTAAAAAAGCAATTAAAAATGTCATTGGAGCCGGCGTATATATCTTAATATATATAAATTACGTGTCACGTTGTTTGTCTGCCATGAACTCCTAAACTACTTAACCGATTTTAATCAAATTTGCACACCGTGTGCAGTTTGGTCCAACTTGAGAGATAGGATAGTTTTTTTTTTGCCCATGAGTGACCCACAATTTTTTTTTTTTGCGAATTTAACGATTTTTAATAGGACATGACAATGGGTCGTCGAAAAGGGCGGAACAACATCTGCCTGGCAAGCTAGTATATATATATATATATATGGGAGCTATGTTCAGTAGTAAACTTGTGAAGCTCTGTAATAATGATGATGATATTTGCCCACACGTCTGAAAACTGTCTTATTATTGTAAAGTGTAAAGGATATTTAGTTACTTACCTTCTTCACCGTCTTTCTTCACCCCGCTGCTCTTCATCCGCCTGTGCCGCTTTTTGACATGAGGCGTATCTTTGTCCGTGCCATTGGTCGAGCCGACTTCTATTTCCGACGCCAGGGACTGCCTACTTGAGGCCGGTTCTTTCAACGTATCAAACGCTGACATAAGAGCTTTGTCTGTTAATCGTGTTGGCTTCTCCTTATAACCTGCAAAATACAGACAAAATAAAAATTAATGGCTTTTTTATACACATCGCCTTCTAAAGCCTCATTAACATTCAGCCCCTGCCACTACTCCTCGCGCTGCCGGCCATACTTCGCTAAATACTGCCGTAGCAGGATCGAGAGAAGTGTGTATTTACATTCTGCCCTACCACTCACATCACTTTCGACTTTCGACTATGGCAGACTTCGAAATAATTACATTGACTTTACACAACATTACACATTAAATTAATTTTTTTATTACAAGAAGACAGTGCGTCCGCGCTTAATACTAAATTATGTTAATAATTTAAGAAGATATCAATATCAAAAGAAAAAAATTCGTCGTCGTAGAAGATGGTGGATTATGGTTTTTATCGTTGAAATCTCATATAGTTTTTGCTGATTCCAGCAGTCCTAAAAACTTGGTTGTATTTTCGTTACTCCGCTCGAAAGGCATCGTATTTATTTAAAAACAAGACGGCATGCACATCGGTTCGTCCAGACTCTTGGCTCGAAGTGAACGATGGAGCAGAATGTGAACACTCACTGCCGCTCGCGATGCTCGTCCTTTGACTTCCGCACGAAAAACCGACATCGAGGGAGCGTCGGCGTGGGCAGTGACAGCGCGAGTAGCCTATTTACATACTGCGCTGCCCACTTCCCTGCTCACTTCCCAGCCCAAAAAAGGCTGAATGTAAATGGGGCATTACTGTCGTCCGCTCGATATGAAACAAATCCATAGAGATAGCAAGCAAGCTGTAGATGTTGAAGTAACACCCCAAATATGCATGTAATTATATATGTAGGTAATTATGTATAGAAACAAGCGATTAATACGTTTCTATCGAAAATTGTAGCTCGTTTTTTTAGTCACCGATTGTGTTGTTCTTACTTGTATGGTGCTTCGACCAATTGCTGTCTTCTTAACAAATAACCAAACAATCGTGCTATGGGACAAGTCGCCGGCCTTGTTTTAACAGACCTAAAAAGTTTGGTGTATATTTTAAGAGCGTATTCGGTCTGCGCGGGTATTGATAAATAGGTATTTGAAGAAACAATAGCCTCGCGCTGCGCCCGAGCAACCGATGTATATCAATATGTTAGTGAATAGTCTGCATTTGTGTGCGTAGCTCAGTACTAACTTCGACAGTTGCCACTTCCCTGATTGTGTATGTATTAGTGTAACCTTTCCTCACCTGTGGTCTCCCCGTAGAGTGCGATAGGGACAACTGCCGCTCAGAACGATTTTACCTCAAAAAACCATGACCGATCCATGTTTCGTATTCCCCTATTTACTCATTTGATAAAAATTTAATGGAAGAGTAGATCTATGCTCCTATCATTTGTTTTTGTCTTAAAAACTTTTGCGAATTCTTTGGTAGTCATCTCATTACGGAGGTTAAAACGGGATATTTTTTAGATTTTTTGAAAGTTTAAGACAGAAACTAAAGTTGAAACTAAAGTTTTCACACATCAGCTGGACACTGCTAAGGCGTCATCATCATTATTACTACAGCCATCAAGGTCCACTGTTGAACAGGTACTAAGCATCCCCCATAGCGCAGTTGTTAATCAGGATTATACTGCTGCAAATCGCGTGTTTTAGTTTCCTCTCTTACGATACCCGCGAGATATTCCCACAAGCCGCCACAACAAGGCAAAATCCATCTTAGTTCTCAGGGGTGACAGCACAATCTGCATATTGATTCTTGATCGAGGATAAGTGTAGATTTCTATGAGCAACAGAATCCACTTACCATCAGGTGGACTGTGTGCTCATTTGTCGCACTTATTCTAATATAAAAAAACTGACCTAGTGATAATCCTCCGATACTGTCGTGGATGTCGAAGCTGCTGTACCCGTTGTAGCCGGGCACAGTTGTGATGATGGATTTCGAGCCCCGTGGCTTCTGTCCCGGCACTTTGACCGTCACATACTGCAGTGAGATCTCCTTGCCGTTCACATCCTCCATGTAATCCTGAAAGAATTTAGAACTTTTATTATTATCAGCAGTTACTATTTTTTTTTATACATCTGAAGTGATAAACTAACATACAGCAGGTAGGCTCACCGATCTGTCCGTCAAGTGTGACAATGAATATAAAACCTACCTACAATATTTAGAGGTTTACGTTTATGTCCAGCTGTAAGCTTTTATTTTTATTTATTTATATATACAAACAAATGTAAAAAATGTACATTCAACACCGTATACCAAATATTACAATAAACTATAAGTAAGGATTGAAGAAAAAACTATTAAACAGTATAAAAGAATCTCGACTAATTAAATATTAAATTTGTAATACTTGTAATTTATCCTTAATATATAAGTACAAATGTAGGGCAATGAAAATGCCAATACTGCCAAAATAGTCCATATATGATAGCACCACTATACGTCTTAATGGTGATTGGTGAAGGTGGTCTTAATGAAGGCCAGAGTTAATACAACAGTTAATTGTGATTAATAATTCATGGGCTAATAAAGAATAAGTAGAATAATATTTTATTCTAATTCCACGACAGTTTGAAAACTTTTGTGCGCGCCAAATGTTGCCTATTTATAGTTAGTTTTTTATTTTTATTTTATAGGATTAGTGTGACAATTAGCACACAGTCCACCTGATGGTAAATTGATGCTGTAGCCCATAAAGATCTACATTTATCCACAAATAAGAATCAAAATACAGATGCGACGTCATCCCTGAGGAATGAGATGGATTGCGTTTCCAGTAAGAAAGAGTCTTCGGTTCTCTACACTTACCATAGTAAATTCAGCAGCATTAAGCTATTTTACGCTTGTATTCTATGAGAGCGTGGTTCCACCCCGGTCGAGTCGACCCATTCGTGCTACAACCATAATATAGCTAGAGCATGGCTCTACTAAGAACTAGTAACTTAGTGACGAAAGTGTACACTTAAAAGTAGGCACACACTCGGCCTAACGCCACGCAACACCGTTACGTCATTATCACGTTTGCTACTGTTATTACTAATCTACCTACCACTACCAAGTGTGGCTATTATGGCAAATTCTCACTCCTACGGTTGAGTCCCATATCCAACTGGTAGACTATTACAGGCTTATATTAAAAGAAGAGAAAGAAAAAGAAGATACTTACATGTAAACTAGGGTGATAAGTGAGCCTCCCATCGTCGCAGAGAGTCACGTATTTCTTTTTCCACTCCTTGTTCAGTGCTTTACTGCTCTTCTTGTACAAGTACCCCTGTTTCAATGGTATCGCCCTCCCCGAACCAAGCTCCCCATTCTTAAACCTATCGTCCCCTTTCTTGGACGGCGTGAAGAGATTTGATCTTCTCCGGGACTTCCTCGAAGTAGTGGGGGTTGAAGATGGAGTGGGGAGATCCTTGGGATCCTTCACCGGCTGTAGGTTGTCGAGACAATGTGGCGCCGTAAATTTTACGTTGTTGTTCTCCGTGGCGATCGAAACCAACCCGGACGAGGATCCGTGACTGCCCAGCGAGTTTCCCCATCGCGAAGAGGTGTCAGAACCGTTGGTGCTGTGTATTTCGACCACGTGGGTGGAGGAGATCCCGCTACTGTTGGAGGAAGCGTCGAAGGACGAAGCACCCCGGTGTAAGTGGTGGGACGACGCAGAAAGCGTGTGATGGCCCCGCGGCAGAGAATCCTACAAAACAAATAATTAGAACCTTTACTACTTGTCTGATAACGATCAAAAATTTTGACATTGCTTATTAGTAATCCAGTATTTATTTGCTTACTAAGTATACATTTGTTTTAAAGCACTACACCCACACTAAGATTATCTACTGTATTGCTGAGGCAGTTTACATACATAAATTGTACAAGGATTGCACGGAGACCCGTAACAGTTATTTTTAGGCTGTACAAATACTTTTTCCGTGCAGGATTCGAATATGCGGTCCTCTGCACCGCAACTCCACTGCGCCACGGAATCGGTTAGGTTTAATTAGGTTGTTAAGTTATAGTTTTAAGACGGTCATGTGGAACATCGGCCCGCGGGCCTCATGCGGGCTGAGGATCATTATCAAGCGGCCGGCGTCCAAATCTAAAGATTTTAATTACATACTTATACGACTAAGTCAGTAAATTTGATGAATCCGACGCTATAAGCGTTTATAAATTGCGTATTTATTTTATTTATTTATTTATTCTTTATTGCATTCCTTAAAACAAAATAACCAAAGGGCGGACTTAATGCCTTTAGGCATTCTCTACCTCTCTCTGGTACTACCCATGGAGTAGTGAGAATTTGACGTAGGTGTGGCAATATAGATTAAGAGAACACAAAACAAATGATAATTAACTACATAATATATACATTTTTCTTATAAATAAACCATATATATGACCTATCCATACATATATACAAACATATAAATACATGCATATGCATATATAAATACATACATAATTAGTAAATACAAATGACTACGAATATATATTTCTCTAGCAATACATTTTAAATGGATGAGTCATGTAAAATGCTTTGTCTTTAATAGATGTTCAGGGACTAACTTTTTAAAAGCGTACTTATTGGGTGCTTTTCTGATGTCATCGGGTAAGGAGTTCCAAAGGCGTGTAGCCTGAACTGTGAAGGAGTTACCATAGAACTAGGTGAAGTGAACAGGAATACGAATTTTGTTGTTAGAACCATTTCGCTCACGCTTTGGCCTTTAGCTTCTAAGTAAAGATTATTTTTATCATTTATTTTTACGTACATTTATTAATTTTATAAAAATGATCCTATAGAAGTCGAGATTGTCACCGCTGCTTTAAGTACGTACTTGTAACTTAGTGGTTTTTCAATATCTGAATATGAACTCGATAAGATGACGAAATCAATGATAAAAAGTATGTACGTGATGCTAGTATTTTTAAAGTTCTATTATTTTTGGAAGGATGGTATTTTACGACATAGTGATTAACTAAGAGTCTATCGGGTGTTTATCTTATTGATGGCTATTTTCACCTTCAAAATAAAGAATATAGTCGCGTTGTCGACCTAAAGAACTAAAATGAGGACTATCGTTAGATATGGACAGTGAAAACCACCGTACCATAATTTATACATAAACAATCGCATTAAAATAGAAAAAAAATACTTCATACGTCTTCGAAATATTTTTTTCTTATTACTCAGACAGACGAGCACGTGGAAATCTGAACTTAGTGGCCGTGGTAGCTCCAGGGCTATGCGTTCGCTGTAAATTTCACAGTACGTGAGCAACTCAGGTTCGATCCCGGGCGGCACCAATGAAATTGTTAATTGCAATTTTAAGTGCTGCTTTAAGAAACTCAAGTTGATGACCTACTTTGCGTTTGCGCTTTCGTATGTACCTATACGACACTTTAAGCTGAAATTTAACTTTAACCACTATTAGCTTCTACATTACGGTATAACTAAGATAAGGAGCATTATTTAGTGGCAGTATTTTAACTTTAGGCATACCACGCATTTGAACACACACTTTTTACTTCGTCGGGCACAGCAAACGAATATCATTAAAGTCATTTCCAGTACTTGTCCTTCAATTTGATGACAATGTGGGTTTCAAGAAACAATTGTAACTTTTGGTAAATTAAGCCAACGCACTTTACTATATTTAGCTATATTACCACTAACTGTTTAAGCTAGTTAATAGTTAAGCTCTGGTGTTTTGTTGATAAATATGAATATTGTAAAGCACATTTAATGAAGGCCGGTAGGTAGATGTTGAAATGAAATAATACGTCTCACACAGGTGTGACGTATTAACAAAATTATTTTTTTTTATTTGAAAGGCCCACATGTGCCTTTAAGTGTGGAATATGACATCGTTCAAATGCTCACCTCGGTTTCTTTGGTCTGGCTACACGCTCCGTCTTGCTTGCGCGGTCCAGGCCTGTGCAGTCATGAGTGTACCATGGCTCGTGCAGGACTGCAGGTTAGCTCGCGCAAACTGGACTGTGCAAACCTCAAAATGTTCTGAGAGCTCGTCACGTCATGATGTGGCCAGTAGAGGTTTTTTGAAACGGAGCCTTATATTGTTGCATATATATTGCGAATATTGTGCAACTCCAACAATATTACACACATACATATCGAATTGATAATCTGCTTTATTTTTGGAAGTCTGCTAACAATATCACAATGTCACAAGTTGTTAATCCAACATATTTATTACACATCATTAAAAAGGTACTTAGGTTATATTTACATACATCTTTTAGTTTTTCAATTAATAAATAATAAGCTTCATTTTTTTTTGTTCCTGTCGGAATAATCCTAACTCTTAATTTCCACAACGCTGGCAATGATTTGTACAATTCTATGAAGTCAGTTATAAAATCCCTAGAATAATTGCGTACAGATTTATTTATTTTTAATTTAAGATTTTATAACATGACATGTGTCTTCAAAAACAATTCAGCCGGACTGAAGCGCGGCTTGAATAACCAGCCGCACGCTCAAGTAAGATCGCAGGGAAAATTGTGCAAACCAAGCCCGCGCAATCCAATCTTCTGCACGTCAACGATTACGCAAGTCGCCTGCGCGAGCTACCGTCTTGCCGTCCACACGCACGCCCTTAGCTGTGCAAACTGGTTTATGCCGGCATGCTCACAGGCAAGACGGAGCGTGTAGCTGGGCCATTACAGTGGCACGGAATCGAGTGGTCCAATTTTCAATGACTCTTCTGCATAGATCCGGCTGAATTTCAGCGATGGCCTGGGGTTATGTTCACCTTTAGGGCAGCGATTGATTGTGGTTTATTTGCATAGACCTGCGACTTCAAGAAACCCCACAAGAAAAGTCTAGCGGGGTCATATCGCATGACCTTAGTGGCCAATTCACATCACACCTGCGAGAGATAAGCTCAAATCGCTCATGGCAATCATGGTGTCCGCTGTGTACCGGAACCACATGTCGTCTAGGTCCATATGGTTCAATTTGGGTCAAAAGAAATTGGTTATCATCGTTCTGTAGCGCTCGCCGTTACCGGTGACCGCCTCACCAACGTCATTTTCGAAAAAGTACAGACCAACGACGCCGCCGGCCCAAAATCCACACCAAACGATAACTTTTTGAGGGTGCATTATCACCTGGTGAAACTCGCGTGAGTTGGTGTCGTCCCATACACGGCAATTCTGCTTGTTAACACATCCACTCATCCAAAAATGCGCCTCGTAAATTGGGGTCCTCTTCCAAACGAACAAACGGCGTTGTTTATGCTCATGAACTTTGAGCTCCTGGGTCAGTTGGATCTTGTACGGGTGTAGGCCTAAATCCCAACGCAAAATTCCCCAAGTTGAAGTCTGTGAAAGGCCGAGTTCTTGTGCACGGCGAGGAATCGACTGCCTCGGGTTCCGCTGTACACTTTCACGAACCGCGACGATTTTCTCGGCCGATCTTGCGTTCCTTGAACGTACGGGTGTTAGCTGTGTTGTTTACCGAACCGGTCGTTTCAAATTTGGCCACCAAACGTTGAAGAGTCGACTGTGAAAGGCCACCACACGTCTACCGTAAAATGGGCGCAATGCGCGCAATGTTTGCACTAACGAACACTCATTTTGATAATAAAGTTTTATCATTTGAACATGCTGTTTAATCGTGTAACTTGCCATGTTGATTTGGTATAAGTAACCGAATAATAAACAAAAGATTTGATAGATGTCACCAAAGCAAAATTGCCGCCACGGACCGCCAAAATCTACCCGCGCCAATTGAAAAACCCTTTACTATGAGCAATTATTGAATGAATTCTTGCTACTATGATTAAGTGAGTTCGCGGTTTGACCACTATAACGACTAAAATCGGTACAAATAGGACCATGGTAACTGAAATACTTATTTTCCAACCAGGCTTATAGGTAGCGGTATTAAAAAAATACTTTTCAATTTTGAAAATAATACAATTGTGGCCGTGGTAGGAAAATAGGAGATCTCCCGCCGGGCAAGTTGTTCTGCCCGGGGACCGGGGAGCGGCCGACACTCCGAGTGATAGTTCGGAGAAGTTCTATATATCGGGTGTCCGGTAATGAATGAATAACCTTGAAATGTCTTATAGTATAACTTATGGCCGTTCTGAAAAAAATAGGAAAAATAATATATCACAAGTAGTACCTTTGATATATATATTTTTTTTTAAAGAAAAGTCGATTTTCTGATCTTATTTTACTGTCTTGAAAACTATGACCAAAAATGAATTATTTCTATTGGTTTTTCTGTTGTTTTATTATTATACACTAACTGTGCTTATAGGTAAAATGTAAACAGTATGAATAGCTTTTGCAGTTTTTATTTAAAAAATTCGCAAATTAATTTATTTCTGAAAAACATGCAAAAAATATTATTTAAGCGAAGTTCAAACCTCTTGGGTATGAAAGAAATGTATGAATGTATGGGTGATCAATAATTTTACAATAATGTCTGTTTTGTGTAGATTTTATAATGGTATAATTCATAAATGTATCTTCCATAAATAGTGACTTATTGCCATTAATGTAGAAAAGGAGAAAATTTGACTAAGTAACAAAATTTGTAATATGGGAACATTTATTAAATTGAATTGTGTCTGATCATTGGGGATTAATAAAAAACAACATTTAAAATATTTTATTTTTCGTTAATTTACAACAAATGTTCAAATTGTTTGCCTGACACTC